TAGCTCATAATGATGACCTCTTCTTCTTGTCTTTCTTTAGGCTACACTTCAAATATTTTTTTGGCTTAATAGATAGACAACCTTTTAAGTTTCTCAATAAATTTTATTTAAACAATTGAATGGTATATTACTTATTTTAGCTAAGAACATGATTACGCATTTCTATTAGAAACCTTGAATTCAAATTTTGACAAAAAAAATTGTGTCTTCTCAAGAGCCTGTTAGGTAGTTAAGATAATCACGATAAATATGCCATTTTTTTAGTTATACGTATCGACTTCAATTGAAATAAGCCTAATGTTTTGTTGCATATAATTAAAGAAAATAACATATTTCAAATAGTTAGCTTATTTACATAATATATACAGTACTTGTGAATATACACAATTTATTTTTCAAAATTTAAATTGAAAGTATCTAATAGAAACACTGTATCACGTGTTTAGATGCTCAACTAAAATAAATTGTAATTCAAATCATGTTTAAATAAAATTTACTCACAAATTATTGACTATGTATTAAGCCAAGTTTTTAACAGAAAAATGAAAATATTGAATGTGTGAGTTTTTGTGTGTGCAATTATTTGTTCAAAGATGTTTCTCTTTATTTGCTACAGTATATATACTCTCGTCTTTATTCATTTACATGCAATGTTTCTCTTCTTTATTCATTTACATGCAATGTTTCTCTTTATTTGCTACAGTATATATATACTCTTGTCTTTATTCATTTATATATGCATTTGTTTATATGAGTAGTATATTCAAGTGCCTTTTCTAATGGTATTTACACAATAAATAGGAAGAAAATAATGGTTTGTCCAGTTTTGATTTGACACGATATTTAAAAAAATGACTTTTTTAAAAATATTTTTGTAGAATGAATAGGAAGATGATAATTGTTTGCCTTTTTTTAAATATTTTTTTTAATCTATATTCAAGTGCCTTTACTAAAGATATGTAGAATAAAAATATTTTTTAATTTGTCGTCATCTTAAATATATCATGAGAAAAAATAAAATTAGAGAATTGTCCAAAAAAAAAAGAATATTCTTTTCAAATAAATTGAAAAAAAATAGAACAAACAAATTGAAACACAGAAGAGAGTAATATATTATGAGTATTTTTAGTACTCATGTACCCTCAAAATATAGTATATGATGTGGACAAATTTGATAGTGATTTGTCCTAAAACATGCACACTTGTTAAATTATTGCTCTATATATGGTTTGCTTTTTCATTGAGAGTTCATAATTCGAGGTGCACGTTATATATTTGATCGATCAAAATAATTATATTCACAAGTTAAATATATAAGTATATTAACAGAAGTATATATATGAATTATGTATAGTATATATTAATATAAATTATGAGTGCTTTGGAGATTATGATCTTTTAATAAATTCAAAATTATTCCTTGCGTCTTATTTTAAATGTTGTTTTGGCGAATAGATGAATTTATTCTAAAATAGTTGGCGTTTAAAAAAAGACCAAGAAGTTATTTATCTCTTATTGTTTAGATATGTGGAATGTCTATTAAGTAGGTGTTTGGACTTTACATTTGAAGTTATGATTTGAAAATTATATTTATTTATGATATTCTGAACAAAACTTCAATTTAAAATTTTTAATCCAAAATTTACCTAGAAGCTAGAATTTCAATTCTAAATTTTTTTAAAAAAACTTGGCCCAGAATTTTAAATTCACAAAATAAAAACTCATATTTATTATGAGAGCAGCTCCTTCTCTAAATGGACACATAACTAAAAAAGGATTGTCGTGAAGTGATAAGTACTTTTTTAATTTTAACCAGAAATTTCGAGTTTGAATCCTCTTGGATACAAACTTGCTTTTATTATGGAACGTTTTACCCATCAATGTGGGATATAGTTAGAAATAAAAATGATGTAATTAATATTTCCTCCGTTCTGATTTATACAAGACATTTGGAATATTAAAAGTCAATCAATTTTTTCTTTGATTAAAACTACTTTATATACCTTTTAATTATTTCTAAATTGTTAATTATCACATTTTATAATATTTTTATATTCTTTTTAATATATAATTATTTTAAAAAAATTTAAGCTTCTATGTCTAAATTTACGGAAATTTAAACTTTGAAGTGTCACTTCATTATTTGAAGTATCGTAGTTATTTAATTGGTTGTACTACATGTTGACTACTTTATATTTTTGAAAAAAGAGAAAAAGCTGCAACATAAATTAGTAGCGGCGGTGAATTATGGCATTGCAGAGAAATAAAAGTAAATTCATTGCAAATAAATGGAAAGATAAAAAGTAGAAGCAAATTATACTATTATAACTATCCTATATAATTTTGAATATCAACATTTGATGTCCCTTTCTCTGAATTTCTGAATTCTTTAATTATGTTGATGTATTAGAATTTGTGTTGTGACTTTAAGCTGATAAATAAGTACTTCAGTTTTGAGAACGTACATGATCTAGATACCGTATCTTGATGAAAATTGAAAATTAAAAATTCTATTTCATTTTTACTGTGTCTTGTGGATATTTGATGTAGTGGCGAAATTGAAATTTTTAATAAGGGGTTCAAAATCTGAAGAAGTAAACACATGAACTAATCAAAGGGGGTTCGACATCTATTATATATACATAAAAAAAAATTAACAATGTATAACTAGTAATATTTTCCGCTGAAGGGGGTTCACCGGTGAACCCCCTAAATGTATGTTGGATCCGCCCCGATTATTCTGATGTTACATCACATAAACTTTAGAGGTCATGTCTAGATGACCATTTTATAAGTTAAAGTGTTCATCAATTATTTTAATAGAGACGAGTCGAGGTATCTAGATATGTATATTCAAAGTTAAAGTGTTTAGTTGCCAATTCAGATTCAAAGTTTTCTATCTATGTATTATATCAATTATAAAGAACTCACATGATGTCTGCCTATCCTCCCTCATAAGTTATGCCCTTTCCTACCTTAACCTAGCTAGGTGAGCCTCATCGACATAATATCAATCATAGAAGTACATATTTTGAATTTTTTTTCTAATGAAATTGTTTTTATCAATCTGATAATGGGTGAGAAATCATGACTAGCAAATTATTTATCACCTTAATTGTATAATGAATATAATTTAAAGTTTACATAAACAATGGGTAGAGCTTAAACTCATTTTAGCATATAGATGTATTAAAACAACCTATAAAACAAAATAAAGAGCCAACCTATAGCTTCTAGCAATCCAATATGCTACTTTTCATCTTAGAAAATTACTATATTTAGTAGTAACTAAATTGATGGCTTTTATCCCTAAGCGGGTGACATGAGTCGGTGCAGTAGGTTGTATTTCATAAAGGAGGTTATAGATCGATTCCTCTATGAATGTCTTTTCAGTTAAGCTAGTCACACCAATTTTGCCTAAAATAGCTTACATCTCCTATATGATTTGTGAGATATGTATGAAAATGATATATCAATACACACTAAAAAAATAGTGATCGTGAATTTTTTGAAAATTCCAAAAATTAAATTAAATTGATGGCCTCTAGTACAAGAAAATGTATTAGAGAAACAAATCTAGATTATGCATGACAAAAGTAAAATGACCCTAAATGTTTGATAAAGACAAATGAATTAAGCAAATGTTGGTTCTTAGAAAGTACAAACGACCAAAATTAAATTAGAAAAATAGATATTAAAAATCTATTTGTATTATTATTTTTATTACATACATGATGTAGCTTGAAGGAACATATCTTATCATGAAATTCTGTAGCTAACATTATTATAAGAAATTGTCAATGATTAGATTAAGACATTAATTATTATGTGGCTGCATTTTGTTGGCTAAGCAGACTTGATGATTAAAAAAAGTAATTGTAACATTTCTCTTATGCAAACCTCTTAAAAAGAATATGAGTAATAATAATATATCCACTTAATTTAATAAGTCTGAACAGGTAGGATATACATATATTTTATCCTTATTTTTGAGGAACAACAAAGTTATTTTTGGTAATCTCTTAATTAAAAGAAATGTAATCATGATAAGATTAAAAGAAAAAATAACAACAACATAATAGTAAGATAAATAAGATAATTGACGGAATAAAGAGTAACAATTGAAGAAAATAATATTATGTAAATATCAAGCTAAGACTACTAAATAAGGAGAAGATGAGAAAAGGAGGCTAGTTCCATGCTTCTCCATAAAAAAAGTAGTGATGCTATCTTAATACTCGACATCCGAATTTTCCTATCTAGAATAATGTGTTTAGTAAGTTGCAGATAAGTCATGTCGTCTGATCATATCTCTCAGTTCTTTTTTGACCTATCTCTCTTTTCTTTTATATTTTTTTCAAGTATTTATTAAGCGTAAGTTGATAAAAACACTTTTCAATTTCTTGAAATGAGTAATTTCTTAAGGAGTGTGTCCAAGTTAAAAACATCACTTATTCAGAAACCGGATAAATATTATTTTGATTTTTTTTTGTTATATAATTTTCAGTTCCAATCAATTGCACTATTGCTATGTTCATTTCTTCGTGATAGTGCATTTATTAAATCCATTAAATTCTTATTTAAAAATAAACATAAATACAATTAAATAACACACATGAAATAAACCTACCCACCACTCTCGCATTTCCTCTCCACCTTCCTCTCACCTCTCTCTCTTTATATCTCCCTATTCCTTTTTATTATCACCATTAATACCAACCAAAAAAAAGTCACAAACTTTTTGAAATCACTAGAATTTACAGACTACCCAAAAATATTCTTTGTATCCCAAAAACCATTAGAAACAACCCCAAAAACTTGGAATTCTTGAAAAAAAAAATTACAACTTTTTTTTTTTATCCCAAACACCATTAGAAACAACCCCAAAAAGTTGGAATTCTTGAAGAAAAAAAATCACTACTTTTTTGTATCCCAAAAAGTTGGATTCTTGAAAAAATCACAACTTTTTGAAATCCTAAAAAGTTAGATTCTTGAAAAAATACCATTTTTTTATGGGCAAGAAAATGAATCTTGGTTCATGGCAATGGCCTTCTTGTACTCATTCCAAGACTCAATCTTTTAGAGCAAACAACGACAACAGCATTTTCAAGACTATAAATTCAATCTTTTTAGACCCTTCAAACACTGATCATCATCATCATGGGGTTGTTGAAATCGAAACAACACCAGAATCTTGGTTCACAAATTCCTCAGAATCAGCAAGTTTTTCAACAGAGTCTGAAGAAACAGGGGAACCATTAATGGAGTTAATCATTAAAGGGGTTCGCTCTGAAAGACTGTTTTTTGAGCCAAATTGTACTAGCTCATTAATCTTAGAAGATCGTAATCAGAATCAGAATCAGAATCAGGAGAAATTAAAAGAAATTCAAGAAGATGATGATGAAGAATTGCCATTTAAGGAAAGTGTGGCATTGGCATTGGAATCAGAGGATCCATATTTGGATTTTAAGAAATCAATGGAGGAAATGGTGGATACACATGAGATTAAAGATTGGGAATCTTTACAAGAATTATTAGGATGGTATTTGAAGATGAATGGGAAAATTAATCATGGTTTTATTATTGGTGCTTTTGTGGATTTGCTTATTGGATTTTCACCTTCTAATTGTGATTCAATTACTTGTTATTCTTCTGCTGCTTCTTCTTTTTCTGCCCCTTCTTCTCCTTTATCTTCACTAGGAAACAAGGAGATTGAGGAGCAACAAAAAGGAGGGTAGTGTTAACTAGGAAAATTGTAATATTTATGTATATTATGGTAGGAGGGTAATAATAACAATGTTGATAACGCAACTAGACAACGCTTCACTACCTGCTAACATTTTGTACTATTTTTCGATCTTCATATCTACTTATTTAGGGTCATGTGTTCAGCAAACTACGTCATGTCTTGTCTAATCATCTATCTTCGAGACCTCTCTTATCTTGTTCATTATGGAGGTCACTCACACCTTGTCTTGAATAACTTCGTTCCTGATCATATCTCTCTTACTATGTTCATGCATTCATCTTAATGTTCTTATTTTCGTTACCCTCATTTTCTGAGCATGCGAGTTCTTGATTAGTTGATCAATACTTCGCTCCATACAACGTAACATAGATGATCTGATCAACCTTTTATATAATTTCCCTTTAAAGTTTGATGACACATTTTTATTACACAAAACACCGAATACTAATTTTCATTTTATCCACTCTGTTTCAATATAATACGTAACAGTATCACTAATCTCCTCATTCCAAGTGGCTCTCAATTTCCAAGAGCAGAGCGGTGCCACAGGACCAAAAATAATGCCTACATTTTCATTAGAGTGATGTCCTTGCATAATATCATATTATAAAAAAACATAGTTTTAGTGGTAATAAATATGTACATTAATAAAAAGTGTTAAAAAAAAATTCGTCATTAGTTAATTATCAATGAATCGAATGTCGTTGCAGACTTTAAGAACATTTATAGATCATTAAACTATTACTATTAATTAATTATTGCTAAAAATTATTTTTGATATAATGTTATTGTACCTTACCATGATTAAAAGTACCATCCTTTTGAATTTGACATACCAACAAACACTGTCATTCTGCCTTTTTCATGGGTTTAAGACAATGTTTGGCAACATTAAATGAAGCACAATAGGTAGACAATGTAGATGCTCCATCTATTTAAAACTATCTGACACTTTTTTCTGAAAAAAAAGATTTATTTTAATTTAATTATTTTATCGATTTTAAAGTTTAAGATAAAATTAATTAATTTTTCCTCATTTTTCTTTTGGTAGTATAATTTTTCTTGAAAACTACAAAGTTCTTGATTATGAGGTACTATTACTTCTTGAAGTTGTTAATTTAATTTATTTGCATAATACATAAATATGTCTTTTAACTTGGTCTCAACGGATAATTATGTCTTCTAACTTTGGATGTACACAAGTAGACAGTTAAACATGCATCCTGCTAGATGTCCTACATGGCAATTTTGTGTCCTATGTGGCATCCTACATGTCATCCTATGTGTATTATATCACATAGATCATATGTGTTTATTTGTTCAATTTTATACAAGTTCAAGTGTTTATTTGTGCACGCCCAAAATTGAAGGATATAAATATCAGCTGAAGTCAAATTAAAGGGTATATTTATGTATTATGTCTAATTTATTTGTAGGCGTCTATTTAGATTTCTACTCATTTCTTGGCAAGGTGACTTTTGCAATTGCTTACTCATCAATGAAAATGACCCATAAATTGAGTAAATGTTTAATGAAGAGAAATTATAATTTAGATACAAATTAGGTTAAAATAAAAGAATCCTCATAATTAATATTCTTAAGTAGCGTATAAAGAAATAAATAAATAAATAATTTGAAACGGAAAGAGTATATTATTAAAAATAAAAAAAGAACCATGTGTTCATTGATAGGAATTTGTGTCAAAAACATCTTTATGATTTTAAAAAAGGGTAGTTAGAAGATCATGTGGTGTGAATGAGAATATTGTCTCTATAAACATTAGTTAGAAGTAGTTTTCTATATGCATCTACATACAGCCTGGATAAAAAGGATTAAAATTTATAGGTGTTATATTAATTAGGACCATCCACTCATTCACCATTTAGTAGCTCACACAATATAATGTCTTGTTCAACTATGTGCCCACTATTTATTTATTTTTGGACCATATTCTTTGACTTTAATTAGGAGTTAGGCATGAATCTTGCATGAGATTCAAAGGGAGATGCTGAAATTTGTGTACAAGTAACATGATCCAAGGGTGTGACCTACCTAGTGATCAACTAGGTGAATTGAGAATTACAAGATTTCAGATTTACTTTTTTGTATGGACAATTTTTTTAAATAATTTCTTTTATATATTTAAGTTTTGATAAATATAGTTATTGTGTATTTGTGTTGATAAGAAATAGTAAGTATCTCGTAAAATTAACTAAGGTGCATGTAAATTAAGCATTATGAAAGCATAGAGTTATCACAGTCATAACACGTGTTCTATTTTATTTTCAAGATTAATTACTAATCTAACTTCTCATTGAAAGTTATCTGTTTACACTCAATTTGACCTTCCACAACGTGAATTAATTATCGAATTTCTTCAATTTCAAACTATTAAAAATAATCGTCTTTAAAAAATAATTAAAGTCATTTGAAGCGATTTTGTTATTTTTCAAAATGAATTATGTATTTCTATAAATATCTTTTACATATTTCGATAGTGTATAAACTTCATTAAATAATTGAGAATGTTTGAAGTATGAATCTCTTACTTCTCTTCCCTGTCAAAACATGAATTAGTAAAAGTCAAAGTTTCTTTCCCAAGAAAAGACATATGGATCACCAATCAATTGTCTTGCATGTATTTTGTGCCATACTAATTTAGGTTTCCTATTTCATCACCTTGGATCTCGTGGAGATAGAGATATTATTTTCGAAAGGTCTTGACTCAAGTGTAACAATTAAAATAATTATTATTTCCTTCGTCTCTAATTACTTGTCTAATTTTCTTTTTTTACTTGTCCCTTTTTACTTGTCCATTTTGATGAATCAAAAAAGGACAATTTTTCTTACCTATTATGCCCTCAATTAATTAATTTTGAAAAAGCTAAAACTTCTTGAAAATTTTAAATTTTTAATTCATCCAATTCATAATTAATATGATTAAAATGATAAACTTACTATGTCAATCGTTATTTTTTTAACAGGTGTGTCAATTCAAAAATAGACTAGTAATTAGGAGCAGAAGAAGTATTAAAGAATGGAATATGACAGTATTGAAGAAAACATGATAGTAATACATACTTAACATACTAGGAACAATAATAAAAGTGAAATAGTAAAATAGTGTGATAGCCAAAACACAATAAACAACCAAAGATAACAAATAACAAAAGAACATACATGAATAAAGCTAGTAACACAAAGACAGTGCTCCCAACTACCACACAACTATTTAGTGTCCTTCTATACTACTTTGTGATTTTTATACCTTCTTATCTATAATCACGTCCTCGGAGGACATCAATATATGATCTACTAATACTAATGAGAGTTTCCAATACAATAAGTATGAGTTCAATTTTCACTATTCTCATTCTTGCTTGCCCTTCCCCATTGGAGGAACTATGTTTGCACAAGTTAATATTGATTGGAGGTTGAATTTACTCAATGTGAAAAACGATGGGACTAATATCATAACTAAGCTCAACTTTGAGGATGAAAAGTAAACTTAAACAAAATATAAGGGGAAAACACATGTAATTTCCATACAAAAAGGCACTCAAAATACATCCCACAACATGTTGAATTTCAAATATTATTACTCCACTACAATTCTACGTCCAAACAATTTTCCATAAATGAAATTTCAAAAATGAAAAAAAGGTAAAACTTATCCATGGTCAAACGAGCACTTAATTCGTAGACTCCTATTATATGAGTCGATGCCAATAACTAGTAGTGAGAGACTTTTACGATGTGTTACCTACAAATTTACTAGGTATTCCACCTGATCATGATATTGACCTAATTTGTCTATAATCTTTGAACCTCTGAATCCTATCCCATGTGTTTATAAAAGAATAAACAGTAAAAAAATTATTACTCCACTACAATTCTACGTCCAAACAATTTTCCATAAATGAAATACTAAAAACGAAAAAAAGGTAAAACTTATCCATGTCAAACGAGCACTTAATTCGTAGACTCCTATTATATGAGTCGATGCCAATAACCAGTAGTGAGAGACTTTTACGATGTGTTACCTACAAATTTACCAGGTATGCGCCTAATCGTGATATTGACCTAATTTGTATATAATCTTTGAACCTCTGAATCCTACCCCATGTGTTTATAAAAGGATAAACAGTAAAAAAATTATTACTCCACTACAATTCTACGTCCAAACAGTTTTCCATAAATGAAATTTCAAAAACGAAAAAAAGGTAAAACTTATCCATGGTCAAACGAGCACTTAATTTGTAGACTCCTATTAAATGAGTCGATGTAAATAACCAGTAGTGAGAGACTTTTACGATGTGTTACCTACAAATTTACCAGGTATTCCACCTGATCGTGATATTGACCTAATTTGTCTATAGTCTTTGAACTTCTGAATCCTACCCCATGTGTTTATAAAAGGATAAACAGTAAAAAAATTATTACTCCACTACAATTCTACGTCCAAACAGTTTTCCATAAATGAAATTCCAAAAACGAAAAAAAGGTAAAACTTATCCATGGTCAAACGAGCAATTAATTCGTAGACTCCTATTATATGAGTCGATACTAATAACCAGTAGTGAGACTTTTACGATGTGTTACCTACAAATTTACCAAGTATTCCACCTGATCGTGATATTGACCTAATTCGTCTATAATCTTTGAACCTCTGAATCCTACCACATGTGTTTATAAAAGGATAAACAGTAAAAAAAAATTATTACTCCACTACGATTCTACGTCCAAACAGTTTTCCATAAATGAAATTCCAAAAACGAAAAAAAGTAAAACTTATCCATGGTCAAACGAGCACTTAATTCGTAGGCTCCTATTAAATGAGTCGATGCCAATAACCAGTAGTGAGAGACTTTTACGATGTGTTACCTATAAACTTACCAGGTATTCCACCTGATCGTGATATTGACCTAATTTGTCTATAATCTTTGAACCTCTGAATCCTACCCCATGTATTTATAAAAGGATAAACAGTAAAAAAAATTATTACTCCACTACAATTCTACGTCCAAACAGTTTTCCATAAATGAATTCCAAAAACGAAAAAAAGGTAAAACTTATCCATGGTCAAACGAGCACTTAATTTGTAGACTCATATTATATGAGTCGATGCCAATAACCAGTAGTGAGAGACTTTTATGATGTGTTACCTACAAATTTACCAGGTATTCCACCTGATCATGGTATTGATGTAATTTGTCGATAATCTTTGAACCTCTGAATCCTATCCCATGTGTTTATAAAAGGATACGCTATAAAAAAAATTATTACTCCACTACAATTCTACGTCCAAACAGTTTTCCATAAATGAAATTCTAAAAATGAAAAAAGGTAAAACTTATCCATGGTCAAACGAGCACTTAATTCGTAGACTCCTATTATATGAGTCGATGCCAATAATCAGTAGTGAGAGACTTTTACGATATGTTACCTACAAATTTACTAGGTATTCCACCTGATTGTGATATTGACCTAATTTGTCTATAATCTTTGAACCTCTGAATCCTATCCCATGTGTTTATAAAAGGATAAACAGTAAAAAAAATTATTTACTCCACTACAATTCTATGTCCAAACAGTTTTCCATAAATGAAATTCCAAAAACGAAAAAAAGGTAAAACTTATCCATGGTCAAACGAGCAATTAATTCGTAGACTCCTATTATATGAGTCGATGCCAATAATCAGTAGTGAGAGACTTTTACGATGTGTGTCCTACAAATTTACCAGGTATTCCACCTGATCGTGATATTGACCTAATTTGTCTATAATCTTTGAACCTCTGAATCCTACCCCATGTGTTTATAAAAGGATAAACAGTAAAAGAATTATTAGCAAAAAAGAACAAGATGCAAGAACTCCTCAAAACAGTGTTGTATTGTAAAGGAAAAAAACATAAAAAAGTTATTTGACCATTTCATGATGAAAAAATGGAATTATGACAACAGTGCTTTTATGATGATGAATAGTTTGTATACAATCTTAGCACATGCATGTAAGAGAATACTGAAGTATATACTGAAATGAGGTCACTATTATAAACTGACAAACAACAAATGATCAAAGTATTTTTTTTTTCATTCAATTGTTTTTGCTGTTACATCACCATCACTCATCATCTATTTGTTCAAAACAAGTGCAATCCGACCACCTGCTTTCTACTGTAGTCTGTCAATATTGCATTTTAAAGGAGTAACAACGATATACTCAATGTAATTTCACGAGTGGAGTTTAAAAAGGATAGTGTGTATGCAACTTTACTCCTTACCCTGTGAAGATAGAGAGGTTTTCGACAGGCCCTCGGTTCAATTGAAACAAACATATCAAACTCAAGTATTGCATTTAAACAGTGTAATCTCATCACAAGTGAGGTATGGGAAGGAAGTTACGTGTACGCAGTCTTACCCCTCTCTTGTGAAGATAGACCCTTTGTTCAAGTATAACATATCAAAATCAAGTATTGCATGTATTTAAAAAAGTAAAGAAAAAGGTTTTTGGCGATGAATGGGGGAGAGGTGGGGTCAAATGGCGAAGCTAGGGTGGTTTGGCTAAATGCAATAGTTTTGGTCCAAATGAAGTACGTGTCGTAAACAGGTCAATTGAATATATACAAATTATTGATGTAGAACTCAATAACTTAAAAGGACTAGAATCTCAAACTCATAAACTTCAAATTTTGACCCCGTCTCTAACAAGTACTCTTGTGAACAAAGGTTTTTTAAAATCCTTTTGCCTATGAAAGAATTAGGAACATGCAATGTACAACTACATGATTAGCCTGATAAGGGTAAACACAAGGAAACATGTAATTAGGGGTGGCAATTGAACAGGTTGGGTCAAAATTGGGAGGGTCATAAAGGGTTAATACAACAATCGGGTCAAAACCCAACCCATATTTGCTTAGGTCAAAACGGATTAGGTAATGGATTATATAACAGGTCAAGACCCGACCCGACCCAACCCAATTTTTACTAAACTTATTTGTTTTATTTGTTCTTTTAAACTATTTTAGTACCTAATAAATTTTGTTTTTCTTTATTATGACTATATATAACATATTCAATTGAAAAAAAAAGTTTTTTAAAAATATTTTGACAAAATTTCTCATGAGCCAATTCAGGTTACATATCAACTCAATTTTTAATGAGTTGAAATGACTTGAATCGAAATGAATTGAGGTAATGAATGGGCAGGTTATCTTGAACGGGTTGGACGAATTGAGTTTGATTTTGCCACCCCTACATGTAATGTACAACTACATGATTAGGCTAATAGAGTAAACACAAGGAAGCATGCAATGTGCTAAAAATGAATGGAGGATTAAGGGTGTAATACAACAAAGGAAGCATCCTCTCCTGCAAGCACAACTTGTGCTGCTTGCCAAACATATTTGTATTCACAAACAATGGCCAATCTAGAGTAGACACATCAGATTTGGCTGAATCCGTTGTCTAAGTCAGAATAGACTAATTCTAAATCCTGAATCCGCCAATCATGATCAATCTGGAAACATATCCTTCCACATACCCATGCAAGAAAAATATCAAATAGTGTTGGGCTAAATCAGCCTAAAGATACTCGTAACAAACCTCACACCATTAGGAGATCCTACACCTTATACGTAGCTTCCAAATCTACTTTGTTCGCACACCAGGCGTTACACTAGAATCAAGCAAGGCATAAGTATCAGTTGAACAAATGCTAGTTCTAAAATCAAACTGCACTAACAAGGTTTCCAACAGATAGAATCAACAAAGTAACCATGCTCATTGAGCAAAGCACAATGCCCTCAACACATAATACCTAACTTTAGAGAAATGCAAATATGCAAGTAACCATGTTGTTATAGGAGGAAATGAAATAGCGAGGTGGGTCGCGGTTCTGACTAGCAATTTAAATCCCATTACAAACAAGACATAGTTTATAACAGCAGTAGCAAACTCACAAGGGTAAGGTAGATAGGCTCATAAACAATAAGAAGTCCTATTTCCAATTGAAGATAGTCCCGAAAAGAAACCTGTTTCACATGTAAAGGAAAAGCAAACAATTTTTAACAACATCAAAGACTCAGTGATTGATACTAAGGATGATAGAAGGAAACTCATTGCTAAGATAACCTCAAAACTTTCAACAAATTGCATCTCTTTATCCGTCATCTGGGCTAAGGAGACGGAAATGAGCTTAATCAGAATCCTCAAAATATTCCCCTTCATCAGATGGCTCATCAAACGAACGCATGTCAAGCTGGTAACGAAGGATGCCCCCAATGCCACCAAATCCTCGGCAGAACTGTGACCCCTCTTGAGACCTGTTAGTGACAAACTCAAGTGAACAACCAAAGGTTTTGTACTCATTGGCGAACCACTCCAATAGCGGCATTTTGTCCTGGACCTCCAATTCAGCTGAATTCTCAGGATCCTTGAAGTTGCTTTGATCAGCCTCTTGGTCCTTGTTTAGGTGCTTAATGACAATCTCATTGGTAACACTATTTTTCAGCACATAACGGTTTATATCAAGATTTTCCCAAACAATAAGAGTTTCAACAGCTCCCATCTCCAGAGCTTTTATTGTGTCATCCACACCAAATACATACTTTCCAGTATCTTGACTGATTTCCTCAAAGAATTTTCCTATCAAGCGCTTCTCTTGTATGAACTTCACATTGGAGAGAATCTCAGCAGATAGCTCAATGGCCTGACTGAATCCATTCTCCCCACCATAGGACACATCAACCACATTAAGTATCTTTGCCTGAAGACGTGGATCAAACATATCAGACTGGCTTAGCTCTGTCTTGAAATCAGCTGACCCAGCAAGTATTAGTCCAGATACATTTGGCTGACTAGTGGCTGGATTAATGAAGAACTGAGTAGCAAGCTCTGCTGTCTTCCTCACATAGTTATGGCGTTTCTCCATTCGAAGACGAGCAAATCGCAGAGCTGATTGACCTCCTCTTCCATGCTTCTTGGGAAGGTCAACAGTGAATTTATGAAGGATTTCCCTAGTGTTTCCACTTAATGTCCCAAAAAGAGTACCATTACCATCCATGACGATGAAACCAAACTTCTCATCTGATTCCAAAAGCTCACCCAGAGGTCCCGTGTGAAACTTGTTGTCACAGAGGTATAGAGACGCATTAATGGGCTTAAAAGGTGTAAGGTCAAAGGTTACCTTCTTTTCCTTCCCATCTTCAGTCATTATAGTTCCAGTATAAAGGACCAAACCATTCGGAGGTACCTTATTATACAGTTTAAGCCTCTGCTGGGCAGACGTTATTGCACCAAGGACAGACTGACGATTTACTCTGCTCTTAATATTTGATGCAGTACCATATTCTTCCGCCAACATCTTGGTAATCCTAGATATCTGATCACCAGGAGGAATAATAAGAGAGATCATACTGGTACCATTTCCTCTTGCAGATTCAAGGGCTTTGATTAACTTTTTCATTTTCCATATTTCAATATTCTTGTCATTTTCTTGGCCATCTGCCATTGCAAATAGATACTACCACAAGCTGAGCTATAAATTAGCCTGACCTAGGAAGCAAATTGAAGACAAATTAGAGTCCACATCATCGGGAATGTAAAATTCAGAAAATAAGCCAGAAGGATAATGTAAGAATAGAAATTTCAGGTGCATGCTCAAGTACGTACTACTAAGCATTCAATTACAGGGCTTCATCAATGAAAAAAACATTGACAATCTCTCTTAAACAATCAAAAGTAAATAAAACAGATAATGCACATTTTTCAGCACCCAATAGCTTTTTTAGCTATCAACATGGTTTAGACAAGAGATATCATTTAGTCATGGAACGCCTTTTTTCGGTCATTAAAAACTGTGGACATAATAATCTGATATCTTGTGGGTTTTATCTAGCATTATCATGCTACACATGCAATAGTCTGAGTGTTAGATATGAATGCTATGATTTTCCACAATTGAACTTCATCACACACAGTTGAGTATATTTCTTCTTAGAAAAGAAATAAAAAAAATTAACCAACTCAGCCCTGACTACCAAAAAAAAAGGGCATCCCTCGAAATATAGAAGAGCAGTACAACAGTAGAGTATACATCTAAGAATTAGCAGCAACCAAGGCTTTATCAAATCACAATTATCCTCTATCATCTTCTCATGATAAAATACCTTTAATACTAGCTTCTCTTGATTATCCAACACTTCTAGTGCCTGGACTCTTCATCTGACTTGACACCCCCGTGTCAAATGGGTATGATAGAACGTAAGACGTAAGTAATCATATTGATGCTTCAATATTCACTTACTATCTATTTTCATGGAGACATTATGAATGTAAGTCACCTACGATCTATTTTCATGAAGACATTTTAAATGTAAGCAGAGATTTCACATCTATAATTTCTACTTCTTAAGACTTAAGTACTCCAGGGCTTCATGAAGTAGAGAGGGTTCCTAGTCCAGGAAAAACCGCCCGAGAAACTAGTGCAAATGCAGCAATACAATAAGTACAAAATCATACCCATGTCTAGGCTGAAAATCTACACCTGGTTCCCAATGATAAGGACAATTCACCTTTATTAATTTCTGAAAGAAACAACCCTAAAACAACTGTAGTACTATCTAATAAGTCGAGACCAAAAAAATTATTGAACGTAGGTAGACGAGAAAATATGAAATTCTGCGGCATCAGCACTAACCAAACTCTTATACCACTAGAATGAAAGGCAAACTGATGAGGTTACATTCATAAAAAAACTAAACAAGTTTCACATTAACTAACTAAAGTCACCTCTCTTTCGAGATTCTGCGAACCATAAATCATGGAACAAAAAAAGAGATTGGGTCTTGGCATATTCATTGGGCAGTCATTTCATACATTCCGAATCGTACAATAACAATTACAACATCATACCCAGGGTATTCCATAGGTGGAATCTAGGGAGGGTAGAGTCTACCAGACCTTACCTAACCTCATACAAGTAATGATTGTTTTAGAAAGACCATCGACTCAAGTAACGCACATCAAAGCAGTTTGAAATAGAAACATACAGAAGTAGAGAGGACATAGCAAATAAAAGGGAAAACAAGGAACAATAACAATAGCTAAATAATGCGATAATCAAAGCACATGAAACAACGAGTCACAAAAATCGTAGGACAAGAAACTATGAGAATACTACTACTACTATTACTGGTATGAACGGAGAAACAAGTATGCTGCACCAAACTACCACCAAGCCTATCCACGGGATAGCGAGACAACGATCAATTACCTACGCACCTTCTGCCTTAATCCACAACCTCTTATCTAAGGTCATATCCTCGGTAAGCTGAAGATGTGACATGTCTTGTCTTAACCTCTTCCTGAATCCTGATACTTCCTTGGCGTACCTCTACCTCTCCCTAAACCCACCATAGCCACCCTCTCACACCTCCTCACTAGGGCACGTACACCATCTCCTCTTGTTATAAGTTGAAAATATGACATGTCCTGTCTCATCACCTCTTCCCAATACTTCCTAGGCCTTCTACCTCTACCTCTCCTTAAACCCACCATAGTCAACCTCTCACAACTCCTCACTAGGGCACCTACACCATCTCCTCTTATGCTGAACTATTTCAGTCCCGCTTCCCTCGTCTTATCCACCACAAAGAGCACCCCCACCTTATCACACATATCTTCAGTGCTAATCTAATCTCTCCGCTGAGTACACATTTTGAATCTTATTTTAGTATATCTACAATAATTTCTCTAGTTATCAGCACAACATAGCTCTAGTAATAAGATTTCTCATACAAATACAACTATCATCGAGATTGATACAACCAGTAAATCCTCAATAAGTCAACCCACACATAAGACGATCAATTTGAAGATACTTAAGCAAAACTAAAAACAAAAAAAAAACACGAATCCAAGCAAATCAATTCCAATAGCTTCTTTTAGATTGAATTCAAACAATCTCAAATCAAAATTTGAAGCTAAACAATGAAAATCTATGATAATTTTCAGAGAAATGAAGGTTATACCTTGCCTGTTGGAAGCAGCAGACGCAGTAGCTCGAGCAAAGTTGGGCTGTTGAAAAAATGTGGAAACCCTTTTGAGTAAACTTCAAATAATAAAAAAACTGAAAAACTTTACTCCAACAATTTTTACGTTTTGCTTTAATTGTTATATCACAAAAGAGTTACTTCATGTATTGTTTTTGATATAGAGTAATTGACAAAGTTGATTTTTTTTTTTTTTTTTTTAACTTTCTTTAATAAAATATTACTGTTCACAAAAATATTTCATTTTTCTCTTATTTTATTGGAGTATTTATTTACTGGATTATAAGGAGGTCATCAAATTGTAAATGTTTTTTTTGTTCAAAAAGACTTAAGGATTTTTATTTATACTATTAGAATATTTTTAGGAAAAACTATCTAAGTACGCAAATATTTCTATCATAAATATTAATTCACTCTATAGTTTGAAATAATTACATATTGTCTCACTAATTAATAATTTAGTACAAGATTTCAAATCAGATGCACCATTTCTTCATATTTCAAGTCAGATATATGTCTCAAAGATACTTGAGATACATGAATTTTTTTTTATACCAAATACAGAGAGAAAGGTTAGTGAGAGAGGAGGAGAGGTGAGCGAGAGACGAAGAGAGGCGAGCGAGAGAGGAGAGAGGCGGAGTGAGAGAGTCAACATGTATTTTTTTATATTAGACATGTATCTTTGGTACAAGATATATAATGGGAGAGAAACGAGCAGAAGAGTCATTGTATTTTATATACATGTAAATTACTCTTGAATTCTGTGTATCTTAAATGAATTACACCTAATTTGATCCGCATGTATTTGTGATACATGTATTTTAGCAACTTTTGGTAAACATAGTTTTAGGTTGAATGAGGGAAAATTTGAATTATTTTCTCATACGTTAAAGACATATTTGACCTGATAGGTGGAATGAGGGGCAAATTTGACCTGATAGGTGGAATGAGTAGAAAATTTGAACTATTTCTAATAGGTTAAGCTCATTTTTTATCCAATAGATGGAAGGAAGGACAAATTTGATCCAATAGATAGAAGGTGAAATTTTTTGAACCATTTCTAATACTTTGAAGACATTTTCAAACCTTTTTCGAAAAAAGGAATATATTTTCAATGCTATATGTCTGAAGTGGTTACAAAATGAATATATTTACAAACAAAAATAAATTTCAATTTCAACAACTTAAATAGCAACCCCAAAGTTGGGTATTTGTATGTTTCACCCCATTTTTATTTATCTACTTTGATTTGTTGAACTCGAGTTAAAAGTTCTTCGAAAATAACCTCTTTATCTCATAAGGTTGTGTACAATTTGCGTACAATCTACTTTTCTTAAATTTTACTAGGTATATTGTTACATAAAGCTTACATAAATACACTAGTTTAGGAGCTAATTACACCCTAGTTTGCAATATTATGAATCTACCATATTTTGGTGCGTTCACATACATGTATCTCGGGATACATTGGGTCAAAATTATGTGTAATTTGTTATAGATACATTGTATCTAAGTGGATTCGTACGTATCTGAGATACATAACAAATCTCCCCCATCTCTCTTCTCTCTCGCTCACCACTCTCATATATATCTGGTATTCTAGATATATGTGAATCACACCAGAAACATACATATACATATATTTACTGCATATTTAGTGTGATTTGCATGTACATGGAATGCATGACTATCTCACTCACCTTCCTCCCCATCTCGCTCCCCTCTCTCTCCCTATTTTAGTATATCTGATAGCAAAATACATGTATCTAAGTGTATTTTTCTTAATATATGGTAGAAAACTCTTAATTAGTGGTATAATATGTAATATTTTAAAAGTATACGTAATAATAATATATATAATAGTGGAGTATGTCTAATGATGTAGTTTCTCCTATTTTTATTGTTGTTGGCCCATTCCAGTTACCTTTAATTAGTAGCCCACTTAACCAAGCCCAAAATGAACTGGGTCCGTCCAGAGTGTGATGGGCTAAGAAGCACCCACTTATTTTACTTTTTAGGACAAATTACTTAAGTACACAACATTACTTTACCTATTCTCAATATTTCCCTACTCTTTCACTAAAATACAAAAATCCCTTATTTTCCCCCAATTCAACTTAACTGGATACTTTATTAGTTTAAGTATCTGCCCGTTATTAATTAAAGTATCCGCGCTGTTATATTATGCATCCGGCCGTTAATTTAAGTATCCGCCCGTTATTAATTAAAGTATCCGTGCCAACAACTTAATAATTTAAGTATCCGCCCTTTATTAATTAAAGTATCCGCGCTGCTATATTATGTATCCGAAAGACACTAAAAAAGGGATTTTTGGTAATTAATGAAAAAGTAGGGATATGAAGTAATTTCTTTCTTATACTATGTGATTTGCCTAATTTTTACTTCTTTTTTTTTTAGGGAAAATGTATGAAATAACAAATCATTAATTCAAATTAAATGTTATAGTCATAGTTTATTTTAATTGTAATTCGCAGCAAACATCTCCTTTTTTTGTCATCTGATTCAGTATAC